GGAGCTTGTCTCCCTTCCTGCAGGTAAATCTACTGTTGGTTGTCGTTGGGTTTATGCAGTCAAAATTGGTCCAGACGGTCAGGTTGATCGACTTAAGGCTCGCCTTGTTGCCAAAGGGTATACTCAGATATTTGGGCTAGATTATAGTGACACTTTCGCTCCTGTGGCTAAAATTGCATCTGTTCGTCTTTTTCTATCTATGGCTGCTGTTCGTCATTGGCCTCTTCATCAGTTGGACATTAAGAATGCTTTTCTGCATGGTGATCTTGAGGAAGAAGTCTATATGGAGCAACCACCTGGTTTTGTTGCTCAGGGGGAGTCTAGTAACCTTGTATGTCGATTGCGCAGGTCACTCTATGGTCTAAAACAGTCTCCTCGAGCTTGGTTCGGGAAGTTCAACACAGTAATTCAGGAGTTTGGCATGACTCGTAGTGTAGCTGATCACTCTGTGTTTTATCAGCATTCTGCACCAAGTCGATGTATCTATTTGGTTGTTTACGTTGATGATATTGTTATCACCGGTAATGATCAAGATGGTATCACCGATTTGAAGCAACATCTCTTTAAGCACTTCCAAACTAAAGACCTTGGCAGATTGAAGTATTTTCTAGGTATTGAGGTTGCTCAGTCTAGATCAGGTATTGTTATTTCTCAACGCAAGTATGCCTTAGACATTCTTGAGGAGACAGGAATGATGGGATGTAGACCTGTTGACACTCCTATGGATCCGAATGTTAAACTCCTTCCAGGACAGGGGGAGCCACTTAGTAATCCTGAAAGGTATAGACGACTTGTTGGAAAGTTGAATTATCTCACAGTGACTAGACTTGACATCTCTTTTCCTGTGAGTGTTGTAAGTCAGTTTATGACTTCCCCTTGTGATAGTCATTGGGAAGCAGTTGTTCGTATTCTGCGATATATAAAGTCAGCTCCCGGTAAAGGACTACTCTTTGAGGATCAAGGCCATGAGCATATCATTGGATATACAGACGCTGATTGGGCAGGATCACCCTCTGACAGACGTTCGACATCCGGATATTGTGTTTTAGTAGGAGGTAATTTGGTGTCGTGGAAGAGTAAGAAACAGAATGTGGTTTGCTCGATCTAGTGCAGAATCAGAATATCGAGCAATGGCGATAGCAACTTGTGAGCTAGTTTGGATCAAACAGTTGCTGGGAGAACTAAAATTTGGCAAAGTTGATCAGATGGAACTTGTGTGTGATAATCAAGCGGCTCTTCATATCGCATCAAATCCAGTGTTTCATGAAAAGACTAAGCACATTGAGATTGACTGTCACTTTGTCAGAGAAAAGATACTCTCGGGAGATATTGTTACGAAATTTGTGAAGTCAAATGATCAGCTTGCAGATATCTTCACCAAGTCCCTCACATGTCCTCGTATTAATTACATCTGTAACAAGCTAGGTACATATGATTTGTATGCACCAGCTTGAGGGGGAGTGTTAGAATAGAAATAAGTATTTCCTACTTAGAATAGAAATAAGAATAAGAATAGGAATAGGAATAAGAATAGGAATCCTAGTTGGAAAAGGATTCCAATGTAGTGTCTATAAATAGGGTCTCAATGTAACTATTTAGATACACAATTCAATAATATTTTTCGTATATATTTCTCACAATATTGACTGTAATTTGGGAATCACATCCTAAAATAAAGTTCGGATAGCAATTTTCCACACATCATCTGGCTCCAAAATAGGCTGCTTTGGCCTCTGCTATATTGCTTGTACCTCTGCCAATATGTTTTGCAAAGGGTACTATTAAATTGCCCGTTGAATCCCTTATAAGAACGTCTACACCAATTGATCCTTCAGAGTTGCAACTGCCATCTGTATTGACTTTTACCCAATCATTGTGGTTTTTTCCGTAGAACAACAATGCTATCAATTTTAGGCCTAAGAGACAAAATAGTAGAACATAGATCTGGCCACTGCCAAGGCCAATCTCTGCCACCAGCCAGTTTGTTTATCGACCATCTAAGATGGAAAATAATTTGATGCTTCGACCTAGCATAGGAAATTCTCTTAGAGCCATACTTAGCCGCACATCTCGCTTTCCATAGTTCCCAACAAATAACAATAGGAGCAATTTTAAGAATTTGTTGATGCAATGAATTAAAAGGTTTCATAGACCACATCGAGCAAAGAAACCTACAATAGATCCAGGATCCCAAGGAATGTCAAAGCGATCACCAAAAAGTTTCCATATGCTAGTAGCTAATTCACCAGTACAAAAGGAATGATGGTTTGTCTCGTCAACAGGAGGGATTCGACAACAATGGATGAATCAGTCAGATTTGACTGAGTTTGAGGATATGCATATAGTCAGCTTAACTAGATTTATGACAAAGACAAACATGATTCTATATTTACCTGTTAGCTCAATGATTGTGGATAACATGGTGTTGACTGGGGAAAACTGCTTTCCAATCCTACACTCCTTTCTTCTATGTCTGGCGGAGCTATTTCCAAACAGCCTGTGGGCTGTGGCCTAAAGGTTAATGACCTAGACAGTAAATTAATGACTAGATAAATATAGAGAATTTGAGGATATGCATAGTCAGCTTAACTAGATTAGTGACAAAGACAAATATGGTTCTATATTTTCCAGTTTGCTCATCGATTGTGGATAACATGTTGTTGACTGGGGAAAATTGTCCTAAAGGTTAACTGACATAGACAGCTAATTTTGACAAGTTAGCAAACATAAATTAATGACAAGAAAAATATAGAGAGCTGATTCGACATGTTAGCTGACAAGGATTCATGACATCAGCACTACACAATTGATAAGACGCATAGGGATGGGAGATGCAGTGCTGTTGAAATAGCAACCAGAACCGATAAGAGTAGTAAAATCATTTAAGAAAAGGAAACAAAGTTTTGCTGGGCGAATGTGTAAGGCATCCTTCCAGTGGGTAAAAGTTCTTAAGGTTTCTTAAGATAATGAATGTGCTGTAAAAGAAAAGAGAAACACTTTTTGTTGAATTAGTGATTGATAACAAACAAGAGGATCTTCAGGTAAGAATGTGAGCTGATGAACTGGAAAAATTTTCATATTCTCTAGATTCTTAATTATGAAGGCATACTCATTAAGAATACAATATTTAATTATTTGATGAGTTTTAATTACAACATACTGTTATTATACAAAATACACTTAATCACTCATTCAAGCATCAAAAATGACATAATCATTACGAACTTTATACACAATGCTTCCAATGATCCTTTTTAACTTCTTCATGTTTTATATAATTGTGGTGTCCGGGCCAGATTGCGCGCACCTCGACTAATTCCACGGGGTACCCACCACCTCCCACTAGCAACGTGTATTAGGTGACTCTGTCCCTATTAACTTGTTAAAGAGAGAAAAGTCAAAAAGTGCACCGGAATACTGTCAGGTGCCCTCTAACGATATCTACAAGCATTAGCTAGCATTTCTGAGATGCTTTTGAGTCTAAATGGGAAATATTTCACCACAATGGATCAGTGTCCATCTTGATTTGAGCTCTAAAAATTAGTTTGGCAAATTCTAGAATTTCACCACAATGATTCAGGTGCCCTCTAACTGCTTGATTTGGCACACTACTTCCCTTTCTCCTGTAAATCACAGATATGTTAAGATATTCACTAGACTCTCTATTCCTTAATAATTATGTCAAAGAATTTCAGAAGAGTTACTCAGCATTTTACCACTACGCATAAGGCTATTATTGTTCAAAAGATAAAGAATTATAACCTTTCTTATGGTAGTTGTTCCGCTAAAACATAAGGGGCAGATGGAGGAACAACAAATTACATTTTTTTGACTTCAGTTTTCTGAAATGACTTCGATAATTGTACTATCTTACACCCTGATCTTATAGAAACATTAGGAAAAGAAACTAGCACATGAAGAAATCTTAAAGAGCCTTCTCTGTTCCCTAGCATAAAAGGGGCTTTAACTAAAGAAAAGCACAAAGATACTACCTGCATAGGGTAAAAATAGACATGACGCTTGGCGTATTAGATGGTGACATGTGAAAAGAAACAAGGGCAGCAGTATTACACCGGGAACAAAAAGTCAGCTCATTTTGCAAAAATATAACCCGACCAAGCTTGGAACACCCAGAGGAAATGTCAGCTGCCCTGCCAACAATAGCCATTATGAAACCATCCAAGAAGCAACATCGGACGTTACAGTAGAATCACCACCTTGTAAAGACGCTGAATTCTCTAAGTACTTTAATTTCTCGTTACCTATATTTGTCAATATCATTATTGGATCATCAGCTCTCAATAACCGTGAAGTTTGTCCGAGGATATCTCCATCGAAGATATCATTGGAACCAGACCAACACAAGTTGTATTTATATACTATTATATTTCATTCAGTCAATTTGTCTTTATCTCATCATTTACAACTTTATTTACTTACATATATCATCATTTCGGTCCACGTGTCCTTTAAACCTCACATATAAATTCAACTGTACGAATTTTTGGGTAAACACCACCAACCTCAAGGAACCATCTTCTTTCAATCCCTTACAACTAACTTCCAAGGCCTTTCACTGCTTGAACCATCAATTGCCCCACTAGTGGGTTCGACTCACCTGCTTTGTTTGAGAAGGTATTTTGTGTACTTCATGGCGCTAACTAGCCCTCTTGGCCATACTGTAATACCCCTCACCACCCGGAAACATATAGATCCATCTGATCATAGACACTCAAACCAAACATACACATTTCTCTTGGGCACAGCTACCAGTAATCAATGGATTTTTAATAAGCTAATGAATAATGAACAAATCACAGCAAAGCTGATTGACATTGTTCTTTGTTTCATTTTTAATGGGTCAGATCAAGATTGATGATTCAGCTAATTAAATATGCCCACTTCAGACCAAAACTCCCATATCCCAAAAAACACTATATCCAGATATGCAGATCAGGAATTAGGCCCAAATTTGAAATAAGAATATGTAAGTTGCATACCTGCTGGAGAAGACTGGAGAGAACTCCGAATAGTTGGGAGTTGGCTGCCACAGCTGCCTGAGGTGATGTTGGACCTTCTTTGCTTCCATCGGCCATACCTGGAACGATTTTTCTTTAGCAGATTCCAGCTTGTACGAAAATCGACTGTGGCACGATGAGGTTTTTTTACTACACTCCGGCCCCTATTTTTTCAATACTCACCTCAAAGTTGCGAGAAAATTGAATTATGGGTGTTTCTTAAGTATCAACATTAATATCCGAAAAGGCATTACTAGTTAACTTGGCCGCGCTCGCGCGGTCCTGATCGAACTTATTAAATTTATAAATTATCATTTATATAATATTGAAAGTTATAAATATTTTAAAAATATGTTTCTTAATTTTCATATTCGTAAAAGATCTTTATGTTTCAAGTTTTAATACATTTCATTATTTCTACGTAATTTTATTTATTATTTCTACGTAATTTTATTCTCATAGTCTCTTATCCTCCAAGATTTGGTTCCTATTTAATTATATTAATAAAAAAAGAAAAATAAGTACCCCTGGTATCACTTTTTTTTAGTTGGAGTAATAATATACTTTTGGTGTTGTATTTCCGTATTTTTCACAGTAGTAACATTTTTTGTATGTGAAAATTTTATAAATGACATATATAAGACTAATATTTTCAAGTTATGACAGTATAATAAAACTTTTAAGTTGTAACAATAAAAAATTTCAGGTTGTAACATTTTATTAATAAAAAGGATTTTTAAAATAATAGTAAAAACGTTTTTTTAAAAATCATAAAAAGAAAAAAATGGATATAGTTATAGTCATTAATTTGAATACATTAAGGATAATTAATAATGCCATAAATTTAGGGGATTCAAAACAAAATAGGAATATTTGTTTTTCTTTTTTTACTCAATCAGTTAAAATTAATTTAAAAAATCAGATTTTCTTTTATTTTCAAATGTTTCTCTCTCCCTCTAATTTTTTTTCATGTCAATTTATTTTCCTTTTTTTACTCAATCAGTTAAATTTAATTCAAAAATCAAATTTTCTTTTTTTTTTCAAATGTTTCTCTCTCCCTCAATTTTTTTTTTCTGTGATTATCGTCATTCACGACTAATTCCAAAATATTCTTGGTTCAAAAATCTTTATTTTGTTGTAATGGACGGATTGTTATCAATATTAATAAAACATGGTGGTTGTCACATCTTGAAGCTATCCCCAGGACGTAGACACGGGACCTAGGATCACGAGTGACCCCAAGCTAACCCTACTTGCATATCATAAGCATACTAAATAAACTGAAGTAAGGAAATATTGTGCGATAGTTAAATCATAAGATAAACTGAAATGATGGGGGAATACCCATAAACTATCTGAATATATAAAAGCTGAGAGTTTAACAACAACTGAAAGGTTAATCTCAAATACTAAAGCTGATTCTAACTATGTCTGAAAATAAGCCTCTAACTGACTAGAAGTGCTGAGACATGCCCCTGCCAAATCTAGCAAAAGTTAAAGACTAAAAATAAAAAAGAAACATGCTTGTCGTGCTTGGAGAACGAGGACTCACCACTGATGCTACTGAGCTGAAGATCGAGAACCGATCTATGCGTGATCTGAGAACTGAGGACCTGAACCTACATCACAAGAAGATGTAGCGCAGAGTATGCGTCAGTACTTGAAGGGTATTGAACATGCATGATAGAGTAAAGCTGAACAATATACATAACTGAACAAAGCATATAATTGAACAATGATATGAGATAAGCATGATACTATACTGAGAATACTGAACATGAAATAACTGAATGCAATGACCAAGTTTATAACATGCTAAAACTGAAATCTGGTTGTAACTAGTAACATAGTCAATGCAATATAATCTGACTGTGGGAACTACTAATAACCGACATAAAACCACATGAGCTAAATGTGGAGTTCGATGTATACGTCCCATCGAGAGGACCCAATATACCCTGCTAGAGGTATAGAGGCATGACTGGCGTGATCACTAAAATGTAATGCCTACAGAGGGGACTTATAAACCTACGGGTGCACATATTTCTGGAACTATTCGGGTACTCTGAACCCTAGTCCACTCGGTCTAAGCCTACTCCCAATTAGAATGTATATAAACAATATTATGACTGAAATACTGAAGTACTGGATAACTCAATTACTGACATGCAAGCTCTGAGAATGCAACAATTATAACTGATAATGTGACATTCGTAAACTGAAACATGTATTTATGTTTAGATTGACCTAGCATGTGTAATTCATGAACTAAACGAATCTACACAATTAGGGTTCTGAATATCATACAAGAAACTAAGCAATAATATGACAATCTGATTTTGCTCATTCTAACAGTTAAAACCCAACAATTTCTAACATTCAAGAAACCCTAGGTCTAGATAATATTAAGGGAATCAAGATTTCGACTGAAATCTAGGGACCTAATGGATGAAAGAAACCCACTAGTGAAATCTCACATACCTGGTGACAAAATTCACGAAGAAATCTTTCGATTTTGGGGTTGGAACTGATGAGAACTCGTTGCGTTCTTAAACTAGGGCAGCTCGACTTTCTCCTCTATTTTGCTCTAAGTTTCGCTTGATTTTTGGTGAATAATTGATTATGTTGGGTTCTAATTAGTTTACTATGCTAAAAATGACCAAAACTACGTAGTTTAGGGGTCCAACGCATAGGGAAAAGACCAAACGACCCCTGACTTAAAAGTCTGCCGAAACCACTGACCGACTGACCGACGGTCCGTGGACTGACCCACAGTCCGTTCTGGTCAACCGTCGTTTGGCTTCAGAGGGCTGGAATTTGAGGGTCTGACCTACGGCCCTGGACCACGGACCGTGGTCTGACCTACGGTCCATTGGTCCTGGCGTGGGTGTACCCTTAGCCAAATTTTCTGGACTTTTCTGGGAAGGGTGCATGTGGCCATTCACGTACCACCAGGACGGACCGTGGGTTGCACCTGCAACTTCTGAAAATCTGTTGGTTTGGTCTATTTTTGGATATGGGGTGTTACATTATCTCCCCCTTGGGAACATTCATCCTCGAATGAAGACTAAACTAGTTGAATATGGAGGGGAAAAGCTGCAATAACCCTACCACTAAAATACTGGAAGCTGCTTATTGACTGAACTAAGTTCCAAGAACATGTAAATACGATGAAAATACAAGTACAAACTGAAGGAACATGATACTAAGACTGAAACTATGCATGAATGACTGAAAAAATTAAGAGGAACTATTACCTCAAGATGGAATAGGATCAGAAGGAAATAGATGATGATACTTGGCCTTCATGGCAGCTTCTACTTCCCAAGTAGCTCCCTCTACGGACTGACTCCTCCACAAAACCTTAACTGAAGCGACTTCTTTCTTTCTCAACCTTCGAACCTGACGATTAAGAATCTCAACTGGCACGTCCTCATAAGTGAGACTATCCTTCACATCCACACTTTCTAAAGGTACGATGGATGCTGGATCACCCATACACTTCTTCAACAACGAAATGTGAAAAACTGGATGCACTGATGCTAGTTATGATGGCAACTCTAACTCATATGCTACTTTACCAACTCTTTTCAAAATCTTGTAAGGGCCTACATATCTAGGACTGAGTTTCACTTTCTTGCCAAATCTCATCACCCCCTTTATAGGTGACACTTTCAGGAAAACCCAATCATCAACTTGGAACTCTAATTCCCTTCTCCTTACATCTGCATAGGACTTCTAGCGACTCTGGCTGTCTTAAGTCTATCTATAATGAGTTGCACTTTCTCCATAGCATCATGAATCGAATCTGGCCCTATCAAGGCTGCTTCACCTACTTCAAACCAACCAATTGGAGATCTACATCTACGCCCATACAATGCCTCGTAAGGGGCCATCTGAATGTTGGAATGGTAACTATTATTGTAGGCGAACTCTATAAGAGGAAGGTGATCATACCAACTACCCTTGAAATTGATCACACAAGCTCTCAACATGTCCTCTAAGGTCTGAATGGTATGCTCTGCCTGACCGTCCATCTGTGGATGAAATGTTGTGCTAAGATTAACCCGAGTACCACAATATTTCAGAAATGACTTTCAGAAATGAGAGGTAAACTGAGGACCTTTATCTGAGATGATAATAGACACAGGAACTCCATGCAACCTGACTATCTCATTAATTTAAAGCTTGGCGTAGTCCTCCACCGAATTTGTAGTCTTAACAGCCAAAAAGCGCGCAGACTTAGTAACTCTATCAACTATCACCCAAATGGAGTCATTTTGTCTGCGAGTACGAGGGAAACCTGTAATGAAGTCCATGTTGATCACTTCCTACTTCCAAGTAGGAATGTTAATCTCTTGAGTCATACCTCTTGGTTTCTGATGTTCTACCTTCACTTGCTGGCAATTTGGGCACTTAGCCACAAAATCCACTATATCCCTTTTCATACCATTCCACCAAAAGACTTTCCACAGGTCACTGTACATCTTAGTGGCGCCTGGATGAATAACATATCTGGAATTATGGGCTTTGCTGTCTCAACTCACCCACATTAGGAAGACATAATCGACCCTGATAGCGAAGCACACCATCTCCCCCTTGGAGAAAACCTCAACTCTCTGCTGATGGACTGCACCCTTTAATTGAAGCAATATCGGATCACTGTCTTGCTTTTCCTTAACCTCCGCTACCAATGAAGATTCTACCCCATTTTGAACTGTTACACCACCATCTGATATGCTCATAAGACGAACTCCTAAGTGAGCAAGTCTATGAACATCCTTTGCTAGTTTCTTTCTTTCTTCCTCAACATGTGCTACACTACCCATAGATAGTCTACTAAGAGCATCTGCTACTATGTTGTCCTTACCAGGATGGTAATGCACACTCATATCATAATCCTTGAGGAACTCAAGCTATCTCCTTTGGCGAAGATTCAACTCTTTCTAAGTGAACACCTACTGAAGGCTCTTATGGTCTGTGAACACATCTACATGAACACCATCCTAGTAATGTCTCCAAATCTTAAGTGTGAACACCACTGTTGCAAGCTCGAGGTCATGAGTTAGATAGTTCTTCTCATGCACCTTAAGCTATCTAGAAGCATATGCTATAACTTTACCCCCGCTGCATCTACACACAACCTAGACCGACTCTGGATGCATCACAATAGATAACATATCCGTCTGAACCTTTTGGTAGAGTCAAAACAGGAGCTGTAGTCAACCTAGTTTTTAGTTCTGCGAAGCTTTTCTCACAATCATCTGACCACTGAAACTTAACCTTTGTCTGAGTCAACTTAGTCAATGGAGAGGCTATGGATGAATATTCTTCCACGAACCTTCTGTAATAACCCGCTAGACCCAAGAAACTTCTGATATCTGTAGGAGAGGTAGGTCTGGGCCATTGTTTCATTGCTTCTATTTTCTGGGAATCCACTCGGATCCCTTCACTAGATACAATATGCCCAAAGAAAGAAACATATTTCAACCAAAACTCACATTTGCTAAACATAGCGAATAATTTGCGATCCTTGAGAGTTTGCAGGAAAAACCCTCAAATGATTCGCATGTTCTTCCTCATTCCTAGTGTAAATAAGGATATCATCAATAAAGACGCTAATGAACAAGTTCAAATACTGCTTGAACACTCTATCATCAAATCCATGAAAGCTGCAGGAGCATTGGTTAGTCCAAATGACATAACTATGAATTCATAATGACCATACCGAGTTCTGAAGGCTATTTTCAGGATGTCACTATCTCTGACTCTAAGCTGATGATAACCAGATCTGAGGTCTATCTTTGAGAAATGACTAGCACCTTGAAGTTGGTCAAACAAGTCATCAATCCTGGGGATAGGATACTTATTCTTAATTGTGACTTTGTTCAATTGCCTATAGTTAATGCAAATACTGAGAGAACCATCTTTCTTTTTCACGAACAACACTGGTGCACCCCATGAGGAAATACTAGGTTTGATGAAACCCTTATCTAGAAGGTCTTTCAACTGCTCTTTCAATTCCTTAAGCTCAGCTGGAGCCATTTTGTAAGGAGGAATAAAAATAGGCTGGGTATCTGGAAGGAGATCAATTCCAAAGTCGATTTCCCTTTCGGGAATAACTCTGGGAAGATTTTCTGGAAACACTTCTGGAAACTCATTAACTACAGGAATTGACTCAAGAGTTGGGGTTTCGAAGCTTGAATATTTAACCTGAACTAGATGATAGAGATAACCCTTAGATATTATCTTTCTGGCCTAAAGGTAAGAAATGAATCGACCCATAGGCGTTAAGCTACTACCCTTCCATTCTAAGATTGGTTCGTCTGGAAACTGAAAACGAATGATCCTAGTTCTATAATCAATTGACGCATAATAGGAATGTAGCCAATCCATGACTAGAATGATATCAAAATCTACCATTTCTAACTCTACAAGACTGCTGAGGTGACTTTCTTAGAGACTATGGCGGGGAAATATCTGTATACCCGTCTAGCTATAACTGGTTACCGTCTAGAGTAGAGACTGAGAAGGGTTCTGAGAGAGTTTCTCGACTAACATTGAAGTTGACTGCTATATAAAAAGTTACAAAGGAAAGAGTAGCTTGTGGATCTAACAAAGCATAAACATCTAAGTTAAAAACTCGTAATGTAACAGTGACTACATCAGGAGAATCTTTGTGATCCTGGCGAGCCTGAAGAACATACAACCTGTTTTGGCGCTGTCCGCCATCTGCACCAGATGAGTTACCTTGTTGAGTCGCTCAACCTGCTGGTGCTGCTGAAGTCGTAGATTGAGCTCTACCATTATTTCCCCATTGACCCTGTTTAGCAGAAGGACAATCTCTCAACCTGTGACTAGACTGACCATACCCAAAGCATCCTTCATTTCCTGCAAGACACTCGCCCGGATGGTTCTTACCACACTTTGGACAAGTTGGGTAGGTTCTGGTACCTGAAATACTCCCCTGAGACTTAAAGCCTGATGCCCTACCTTTCTGATCTTGTCAGAACTTGGAGGATGGAACACTAGCTGACGAAGGTGCTAGAGCTGAAGACTTTTGCTGAAACTACGAGCGATTTTCACCACCCAATTTCTGTTGAGAATACTCATAGTTTCCTATTCTAGCCTTCTTATTATCCTTAGCTTGTTTCCTAAGCTTATCTCCCTTAACCTACTGAGCATGAGTCATCACCTAGAGATGTTCATATTTTCCAGCAACATAACATTCCTACACTCCGTTTTCACTAAGTGGGATACCCCATATAGAAACTTGTTCATTTGAGCCCTGAAATCGGCAACCATGTGAGAAGCATACCTGCATAGTTGAGTGGATAGTTGAGTGAACTTGAGTCCATACTCTTGGACTGTCATGCTACCTTGCCTAAAATTCATGAACTCTTGAGCTTTTGCCTCCCTCAACTCTCTTGGGAAGAACATGTCAAGAAAAGTCTCACTAAAGCATTCCCAAGTGATAGGAGCTACATCTGTACCCCTGCTTTTTTCCCATAGAGTATACCAGATGTGAGCTACATCCTTAAGCTGATAGGATGCCAACTCTACCCTATCATTACTAGTCTTTTGCATCACTCTAAAGATCTTCTTGACCTCATCTATGATGTTTTGGGGATCCTCACCAATCAGTGACCCTAAAAATTTAGGCGAATTCATCCTAACAAAATCACGAACCCTGGCTGCCACTGATCCACCACTAGAATTTGCAGGAACTGGAACTTGCTGGTAGTTCTAGTTGGTCATACTCTGAGCAAAAAACTAAATGGCGTTCCGAAACTCAACATTCAAAACTTCCTAATCTGGGGCTGGAGGAGTTGCGTTAGCGTTGTGCACATTCAGATTCCTTCCATAGGCTCTATGAGAAGCCATGATCTAAAATGCATAATGAAGGCTTAGAACGAGAAAATTGGATCATACCTCACGCACGATAAGAATATCAAGAAAGGGAAGTTTTCCTAAATGACGTAGTTTAGGGGTTAAACGACGTAGTTTAAGGTCCAACATATAAGGAAAAGACCAAATGACCCTTGACTTAAGAATCTACCGAAGCCACCGACGGTCCGTTCTGGTCAACCATCGTTTGGCTTCAAAGGGAAGGAATTCGAGGGTTTGACCTACAACCCTGGACTACAGACCGTGGTTTGACCTACGGTCCGTAGGTCCTGGCGTGGGTCTACCCTTAGCCAATTTTTCTAGACTTTTCTTGGAAGGGTTGCATGTGGCCATCCACGGACCACCAGGACGGACCGTGGGTGACAATAGTGGGTCGCACTTGCAACTTCTGAAAATCTGCTGGTTTGGTCTGTTTTAGGATACGTGGTGTTACAGTGATAGATAAGATCCTTCTTTTTAGTATTAATTGCGATTTATTATTTGTAATTTAATTTCAACTTCACTAAAAAAATTTAAAAACAATGAAACTGAAAATGAATTTTTCTGATTTTGGTTGTGTATAATAGATTTAAATTGTGATTTATTTTGTATGAACCTTCATTTGTTTCATATTACAAAATAATTTCTGTGAAACACGAATAAATAATGTTATGAGTTTTTTGTATAATAGTTTTTTTAATTTGTATACTGTAAACACCATGGAGTGACATTTTTGTATTTATATTTGAATGATTTGATTATATTGTTTCGCGACAGTGTATTAAATAGTGATGATGTTATTGTTATAAATCTATAAAATGTGTGTCAAAAATAAATGTATGAAATGTGTTTTATTGTATGAATTCTGGTAGACTATTTGGAATGATATTGATATGAATAAGTAATGATGAGTGTGTATAAATTTATGTGAGAATAATGAAGTTCTGGGTGAAATTTGTATTATCTTGGTATGAAAAGTGAATATAAATACAACATATTTATTATTCCTTAGTATTATGTAAGACTGACTGTTATTTTTTTTTAATGAAATAGGGAAATATGTTGATTTTCAGATGGAGGGGATTATCTATGAATCTTCTTGTCTGTATAGTGGTCTAGTGAATGCGATAACTTCGCAACTTAGGATAGATGTTAATATTAATGATATATAGATTAAATATATAGTTAGTGATCGATGTCCACCTGTTTGTATCCATAATGATGTAGGTGTGCAGATGTTTTTGGATCAAAAGAAAGTTAATGTAGATTTCTTTACGAAGTATCTATTGTGCAAACTCTGAAGAATATAACAATGGATAATCTGGAATCTATAGTTGTTGTGGATAGAAGACAATATGATATTAGTAGACCTCTAACAAATCTTGATTTATACTCAAATAATTCAATCCGCTTGATAGGAATGAATTCGGGTGGAATTGTTGATGAAAATAATGATGAAGGACAAGAAGTAATCAGTGACCTTACTAATTTGTTGATATCTGAAAATCAGATTTACAAAGATAAGGGCACACTTATGGAGGTGATGCGACATTATGGAGTTGTCAAAAAATTCTTGTATATCGTTCTAGTTCTTCTTGGTAATAATTTATTTGCTTATTTGTATGTGTAGTTTTTTTGTATGAATTTGGTATATAAACTTTTCATTAATCATCTTTTGTTTTCTGAAATAGTTATTACCTGAAGTGTCCTTCTGAAAATCGTTCCTGGTTAATGAATTCATCATGTATAAATCAACCGGGGCTATTCAAAATCAGAAAATACTGTGGGGGTCACACTTGTTCTGTTAGAGATAGAATTTATGCAAGGTGTCAGGTAATTACTGACGTTGTATATGTTATGATATTAGATAAATTTGTTGATCCAACAACTGTATACACTCCAAAAGATATAGCCGAAGACATGTTGAAATTACATGATGTTTCACTGACATACAAGCAGGCCTGGCGAGCTAAAGAAAAGGGAATAAAATTATTGCGTGGAGATCCGGTTGAGTCATATGCTAAACTACCAGGTGTTTTTCGAATTAAATTTTTTATTTTACTTTATGTCTAATTAATATCAAACTGAAAATTAAGAGTGGAACTAAATTGGTATGAATTTTAGCAAAGCAAAAAATTGGTAGCCATTTGGCATGCAGTTTGTTTACAGATTGGTATCCATTATCCAATTGGTTTCCATTGTGTATCCAATTGAAATCCATATTGTATCCAATTTGAATTTAATTGGTATCTAGTTTTGCATCCAAGTAATATATTATTGTGTTGTGATATTTAGATATCAAATTATAAAAATAATTGTAACAATGGAAAAACTTCCAGGTTATCTATACATATTGGAGCAGACCTATCCTAGTTCTGTTTTGAGCTTGAAAAGAAAAGAAGGTGAGAGCTTCTTATATGTATTTGTCGCATTAGAAGTATGTATTAGAGGTTGGGAGTATTGTAGGCTAGTTGTAGTGGTTGATGGGGTAGCCTTAAGAGGCACATATGGTGGTACAATGTTGACTGCAAGCACTATGAATCCAGGAGGTATTATTGGATCTTTTATATTTATATGCAATAATAATTATGATATAAGGTGTGTTTCCACTATGTATGATTTTTTTTAAAAAAATAATGCATCAGGTCACATACTTCCACTTGCTTATGCCATAGTGGATTCTGAGAATGATGCATCGTGGATGTAATACCCCGCTTCTTGAAAGAACTAAAATTAGAAAGAAACCGTTTTTGGAAATAATCAAATTTGGAAAGTTTGACAAAGTTAAGTATGAGTTTTAGGTCAACTTCAAACGACCATAAATCCTAGCTTAGGATAAGTTAGGTGTGCTACAAGATACCGTAGGAAATATCTTTGATTTATCTTTCCAACGCTGCAGAGTTTTCTCAATTCCGAGTTTGTATGAGGGAGATATGTTCATTTGAAGTTGGGCTATCTAGAGAAGGAAAGTCAAAACCGGATTTTAGAAGGGTATTATGGTCTTTTCACTACCCAATTATTTAATTTGATTTTTGGTAATTAAGATGGGGTCTAGATTGATTTAGTTCAGTTTACATTTCATTCAAAAGATTTAAGGTTTTGAGAGAAGAGAAAAGAAGAGGAGAAAAGAGGAGAAGAGACAAGGAATCGTCAAGTTCTTGAAGCTAAGATCGTGGATTTCGTTAAGGGGTGATCCCTACGAGGTATGTGAGACTTTCATAGCATTGGGTTCGTTCACCCACGCGCCAATCATGTTTATTTCAGTGAAATTCGTTCTACAAAGTTGAAAGTTGATGAATCTTGAATGGTGTTCTTGAAATTGGCCTTCGTTCTTGAGTTAGGTTGAGATTGAGGAGTTCCTTAAGGTTATAATGTTGTTTCCTTGAGTTGTTTGAGTTAGATTCTTGTGTATACATACTGGGTATCTGAATCTAAAGGGAATTTGACAAAAAGAATCGAGTTTAGGCAAATTGGGGTTAGAAAATAAAAAAGAAACAAGTCGGGAAAATCTAGGTACCAGGTCCGCGTCGCGGACATGTTCCTCAGGATTGACAAGATTTTCTCCGCGTCGCGGAGTGGTCACAGACCGTTCTGCCTCAAAATTTATTTCACGACCAAATATTTAAATGCATCTCTGTGTCGCGGACTTGCTTCCAGACAGTGATTTCTTGATCTTTTCTCATGTTTAACTATCTAAAAACACTTCTAAACATCATGAGATCTTTCGTATCACAAATCACAATCCTTGAATCCATAATTCTGTTGAAGGAAAGTTAAGAGCCAAGTCAAGAGAAGTTCATAGAGTCTTCCAAGAGTCTTTTACAAATGTTTTAACTTTGTTTTAAGACCTGAGTTTTTAGTTGAGTAAAGAGTAAAGGTTGAAGTACATTTCTTCAAAGAGTATATGTTGACTATGTATTCCCAAAGAGTTTAAAATGTTTTCACATTTAAGCAAGAAAGGAAACTTTGATTTCCAAAAGAGCCTTTGAGTGAGTTTTTCAGTAAAGAGTAAATGTTTTCACATTTAAGCAAGAAAGGAAACTTTGATTTCCAAAAAAGCCTTTGAGCTAGTTTTTCAGTAAAGAGTAAATGCTTTCACAATTAAGCAAGAGAGGAAACTTTGATTTTCAAGAGAGCCTTTGAGCTAAGTTTTGAGCAATTATCTCAAACCACAGAGTTATGTTTTTAAACATATTGAGCTAGTATATTTTGGGAGTAATATTGAACACATATATGGGGGAGAGTTTAGACAACTCCCAGCCCTCATAAACCATGTAGCCACCATGGGTAGTAAAGGGTCATACTTTTTAGATGATTCCTTAGTGGTTTTTAGCATAGACTAGTGGATCCACTTAGTACTCAGGTTCTATACCCTCGACAAGGTATATGACGGCCCTGGCAGTGTGAGGCAAAACACTGTATCATCACAATAGCTCTTAAGTGATGGTTGTCGGTTAGAGAAACTCCCATAGCAGTATTTTGTATTTTTATATACATTTCAGAGTTTATATTGTATCTTTGCATACACACAGAGTTGATATCCATGATGAACCCACGACATAAATCAACAGACAACCGTACTATATGATAGTGGTTGTGGAGAATACTTTACCTTCTTCCGCATATAATACATAATGATATTAACACGGTGTTACCAAAAAACAAGCCACAAAAAATGGTTTTAAATATATATATACATAATGGATATCAAATTCATTCTAGCTACTTGTTTAATGTACTGTTAATGTAAGTTGGTGTTTATACCAAATTCATTCAGTAATCATACCAATTGCATATATGCATATTGTTGGATATCAAATTCATGCAAGGTACTGTTCATATTAGTGAACATTTTATACCAAAGTTATTCGGAAATCATTCAAAATGCATACATGATGGCTATTGTATAAAAAAATTATACATAATGGATATCAATTTCATGCCAACTAAAAATATAAAATCCCATTTAAAACAAAATACATTTCATAACAAATTAAAAACAAAAACTCCAAAAATAATTACAAAAATCTGGAATATGAATCATAAATTAACTATTAAAAAAGTTGATAGATATGACTTACCTTGTCTTCCCATGGCCTGCTAGATTTAATCAGTATATTGAAAAAATCCATTTCTGAAACTTTGACAACACCAAAGTCCATTTGAGGTTCAAATTTATCTTTGGCCTTGAAATAAGCAGATTTCCTGTGTTCATTAAAAATATAAAAAAATATCGTATACGCATCTTTTGGATAGTATTTCAAAAAAAAAATTAGCTTTATTTACACATATACCTGCTACGCCTAGATGAAACATCTTTGAAAACCCATTTGTTAAACTCATCAATCAACTCAGCTGCAACCTCAAACCCATTATGACTTTCAAAAGGATGTTTGATTCGAGAGAAAATAGGACCTTTTCTTACACTGCTTTCGCCTTCCGACAATCGAATGTACAAATATGTGCCATTCTTATCGAGGTTCCTATTTCTTGATTGCAAGTCTAGAGTAGTAATCACATTGAGAATTGGATCAAGTTCAACAATCTGTGTCATGGTCAAATCAGGATAATCATCCAATGTTGGTGGTTTTGAAGTTGATGATCCAGATATGTCCAAATTAAAAACACCACCGACTGCTTAGTCAATTGAATTTTGCGCTTCAGCTATCTATTAAAACAGAAAAACTAATGTTAAAAAAACTTTGTAAGTGAATATACACATTATACTAGATTGGTTTTCATACCATCGGTGTTTAAAATATCTACATACTCTTTCATTGAAATTGATGGCTGATCCATTCCAACTTTGTCAGATTCTTGAACATGTTGATGTGTATCATCCTAATGTATACATTTAAATAAAGTGTATTTAGACATCATTTAATAATTTATACAAAAAATCATGCATTAAAATCGTCTCTTACAAATTTTATACAAGATTAATACCAAGTTTAAACCAACAACAATAACTTGTCATGAATACTACCACTACAACAAATTCGATTATCAGGGATGAATAATTTCATCATTTATAAATCAAATTTTGTCACTTAAAATCTTGTGTGACGAAAAAAATTTCATCAATCAGTCGTCACTAAACATGGGTCGCTAAAAGTATACAAAAACGATTTAGTGCTTCATCACTAAAAGTATTATATTAACTACAAAAAGAAAAATCGTCTCCAAATGCATTAATATTTGTGAGGAATTTATTTGTCATAAAAAGTATAATTTTTTGTAGTTAATAGTATGTTTTGTCACTAAAAATGTTATTACTATTGACAAAATTATGTCGTCACGAATTATTTAGTTCAATTAGTGACGAAATTAATTGTCTCTAAAGTTATATGTATTTCGTAGTTGAACAAATGTAGTTTCGTCACTAATGACTGCTTTTTATATACAAAAAAATATTTTGTCCTTAAATGTATAAATTAGGGACAAATTTATTGTTATAAAAAAACATAATAATTTTGTGGTTAAATCTATCATTTTGTCACTAAAAGTATTATTTTTACTGACAATATATATATATTGTCATTATAAATTATCACGATTAGTGACAATTACAATTGTCACAACATAAAAAAATAATTCGTATTCAATAAAAAAGAGGTACTAGGACAATACATTTTTTGTCACTAAATTTAGTCAACTTGTAATGAACTAATTTATTTTGTGAAAAAACATTTGTCTTGAAAATTTTAATATAGTTGTTGCTAAAAATTACTTTTGATGATAAAATATTTTGTCACTAATTACAAATAAATAATGACATTTAATTATTTTGTATTGGTATTATTTATTAAATTAGAGTTGCATAAATTAAAAATTAAACATTAAAACATGCTAGAAAATAATAAAATTCAACCATGATCATATAATTAAAAACAACGAAAATATTGAGTTAATATCTCATTATAAACTCCTTAAATAAAAGTAACATATGTCCAATAACAAGAAAATCTAATTGAAATATACTAAATATTACTCGTAAACTTAGACAAATAATTAAAAGTTCCTTCCAAAGTAGCAATAATGTGGTGACACATAGCTTGCAATCGATTTTGATCCAATTCTCCCCTTTTATACCTGTGAAAAAAGAAAATAAAACAAAATTAAGATTTAATTTAAATTATTTATGCTAAGTTTAAAAGTAAAATATACAACACAATTTGTCTTTCATATGTTGTAATGCACAAATTTGATAAGATTATTGGATAGATAGTCCCTGGTATTACAATTCAATTTCTTCCATCTGGGAAGAGTTCTATTCAGTCTCATTTTCATTTTCAGATACGACAACTACTTTTCTGCTAGGACCAATATGATTGATTGTAAACTATAATAAGTAATAATAATAATAGGATTTATGCTCGTGGGGTGGGGGTTGATGTTTACTTTTGATTCATTAGTTTATCCAAATGGACTTCATTTTGTTTTTGTTAACAATTAGTACAAGTAAGGCTTTGCCTTCATGGTTTATCCTACTTACCAAGCACAGTAATTCTATTATGATATAAGCAATCAATTTTTTTTGCATTCTTTGTACCAAGTTACTCAGCCCTATATATGTTCCTGCAAAGCATTTGCTTCAATAAAATTTCCTACTTTAGTCTAAGACTAAGACCCAACCTCTTTACAAACTCTATGAAGTATTTAAGCTACTAAACTCATTAGTTAATCTCTTGCTCAATTAAGTTACTA